CAATGTTAAATGTCTAATATTGTTAAATGTTAAATGTCTAATATTTAATCTAACTCCATAGCAAGTTAGATTATTAGAATTAGAAATTTTTGATGCTTATACTTTAAATTACATAGTAAAAATGTGATTTCTGAATGAATAACTCAAAACTGAATCGATCAGAGCTCAGATTTCTTCTTTTCTCTTCTTCATATCTTTTTCCCAGTTACCACTACCGTATAGTAAATAGTTTAACTTAAAAATTAAAAGAAACAGCTGTAGAGTAAAGTACAAGTAGCTGGCTTAGCTCAGTTGCTCAGTTGATTTTGTTTCAATCAATTCAATGCAACTATCAAAATTTAGCATTACTTTTTATCAAAAGACTAAGCTAGAATCTCTCTTAACATCGGTAAAAACAAAAAATTTAAAACAATAGAATTGTTTATATCAACTTTCTTTCATTTCCTTTCAATAATCAAACAATTCCTACTTGTACTTTACTCTACAATCTCTACAATTCTCAAAAGACTGAGCTAAGCCAGCTACTTGTACTTTACTTTAAAACTTTAAAACAATAGATTGTTTATATCAACTCTCTTTCATTTCCTTTCAAAAATCAAATAAAACAATACAAGTACAAGTAGCTGACTTAGCTCAGTCTAGTTACTTGATTTTGTTTCAATCAATTCAATGCAACTATCAGAATTTAGCTTTTTATCAAAAAGCTAAGTTAGAGCTTGAAAAACTTTAAAACAATAGATTGTTTATATCAAATTTCTTTCATTTCCTTTCAAAAATCAAATCAAAGAAAGCGCTAGATGTCTCTTTGTTTCTATACAAAAAAAAAGGGAAATTACTTTCCACCATGAAATCTTTGAATCTCCTAAAGGCTAAAGCTTTGCGAGCGAGGGAATTGTTGTGAAAGCTCTTTCACCAATTGTCAACGCGTTTTCTTCTCTTTTTGAGAAAAAGCCATTCAATTCTTTTCCCTTTTCATATTCGGAAAAAGCCGGTTCCTCGTTTTCTAGTGCCATTGGGTGGGATTTTGATTTGCGGTAGTTTTTGGTGATGGTTGAAGCCATTGTAGTATGTTTTCACTGTGAACTACAATAATCTATTTATCTAAATAGGCTAGGATCAACTCCTTAAGCCAGGTCTAGGACTGGCTTGCTTTCAAATGACTTTAGTTTTGATTAAACATAGCTCAAGTTGCCTAAAGAGTGTTTCCAAATTATCCTCTTGAATGAATGAAATGGAAACTCTTTGCTCCGACATTTGTTTGCAGTTTTTATTCATTACAATTTCTCTTTTATTAGCAATTAGTTCAGCTGCTTTTTATCAAAAGTTTCAGCAATGTTTCAGCAATGTTTCAGCAACTTTTTTCTAAAAGATCGTTTTCCCATTTCCACTCTCTATTTCAATGGAAATGTTTTTTGTTTTTGGATTTCCGTGTCATCCTTTCACTCGCACTATGTCCTCGATTCACTTTTTTCTTTCATTTCAGCTCATATCCATTTTAAATAGATTGTAGTTGATTAGAATTTCTCTCGATTTACACAGTAACTGGTTCTGAGACAAGGCTTTTGACGCTTTCCACGATTCAGTTTTTATCTTATAAGTTGGATGGCTCAACCAAGGCTTGACTAAAACCTAACCTAGACAACAATATACCTCAAATCCTGTCCACATTTGACTTAGAGCTATTCTAGAAAGAATCTAGATTAATTTGATGTTGCCTTGATTACTTTTGAACTTGTAAGCACCTTTAGACAGGCTGGACTGAAAGGCTAAAACTTGGCTTCAGATCATCTTCAACAATATCAAGATAGCTCAGTTTCTATCCAAATGAAAGCTATCCTAAGCATTATCTAGATTATCTTAATGTTATCTTGAATATCTTTACCTTACAACCAACCCACTTATCACTTGAACCCTTTCCCTGTCTTCAAACCTTTTCCCCCATCAAAAACATAATAGCTGGTTGAGTTCATAGTCTCTCTTTTCCTCTTTTTCATTCTTTTCATGTAATTGCTTGTTGGCAGCCTCTATGAGTCTCTATGCTCTATTTGAAAGCGTTAAAAGAGAGGAAAAGGGACAGGTTGACCTCGGGTGGATGCTATTTGCCCTCCCCCTCCTCCCCCTCCTCTCTTCTCCTCCTCTTCTCCCCCTATCCGTACCCTCTCCACCCATTCCCCAACAATTGGTGTTCCTCTCTTTTGCAATCCAGTTCTCCCCCTCTTTTCCCAGCTATTCAACGAGTATCGATCAAATCCATACCCCGTTTTACGCTTCTCATTTGTCATTCAAGAGTTGAATGTTGGTTTTAGTCTGAAGCTTTTCTTTGCTTTTCTTTGCTTTGCTTTTCTTTGGCTTTCAATTCAAATCAACAATTCAATTCTTACAATTTATAAATCTTATTTTAATTAAAAGCAATATGAATAGAAAAGCTTTTGTTAATCGTTTTCAAAATCGTAAAAGAATCAAAGAACTAAGCTGCTTTTAAAAGTTTTAATTAACTGGTTATAAAACTGATCTACAAAAGTCATAATCCATTAGAGAATTCAATGCTAAACGTTAATCGCAATCCAATCTTTGCAAGACCTATACTACCATAGCTTTATCTTCTAGACAAACATCTCTGCAATCCATCGTGAATGACTCATTTCGTAAACGAGCTCAACAGGGGATTAATTGAGCCTTTCCCCCGTCACCCTGATCGACAACTTTGATCCTGGTTCTTTCGGTGAATCATCAGTTCTCATTTCACTTCTCTCTCCCTTCACTCCCTCAAAATAAACAATCTGTTTACTCAATCATTCCTTTATTTTCGTTCTTATCACTCTTCTGACGATACAATTTTTAAATGATAATATTTACGTGTCAAGAAAGATTTTCTGAATCAATAACAGCACTCTATTCTGATGTAAATCGAGGAATTTCCAAGATTTCTTATCTTTTCCCCGTTTCATTTGTTTTCAATTTAAAAATAATGACGGCTATTCAACAATTTTGCTTTTTTTTCTTGAGAAAATTTGATGAATTGCTCATTTTCTCTCTTATTTTTTATCACATCAGCGAGAATTTTGTACTTCAAAGCCAAAATCATTTAATGTTCAAGGTAATGATTGTTATTGTTAATAAATCATATTAGGATTCATTTAACATCATAATTTCCATCATTTTGAAGCAATTTCTGCTCAATAAATGAAAACGTATCCCATTTGGCACATCGAGCATTGGCATTGGCACATTTGGCACACTAATCTCTTTGCATTAATTAATAAACTCTCCAAAAGACATCTATTTTTTTGAATGATCGTAATCCAGCAGTCGATCAATTTAATTTTGACCTTATTAACTAAACTATTAACTAAACTCAAGTTCATTTCTCATCAAATAATACAAAAATCAAGTTAATTGAAGCTAAACTGATAATCTGATTACGTAGTTTTCTGAAATACTTTTTAGAGGCATTTAAATGAACAAATTAAACCATTAAATGAATTGCATCGAATTAAAAATTAAAATTGAATTAAATGAACAAATTAAATCCACAAATCAATATTCTCAATGTGAACACAGAACTATGAACCTTGTTAACATATAAGCATATTGATAAATCATATTAGGATTCATTTAACATCATAATTTCCATCATGTTGAAGCAATTTCTGCTCAATAAATGAAAACGTACCCCATTTGGCGCACTGAACAATTTGCATTAATTAATAAACTTCCCAGATATCTATTGCAGCTATCGCAATCGTTTACTTGTTCGTAAAAGTTCAACAAATTGATTTGAACCCAAAATTCCCCGACTCCTGCACAGAATTATGAACCTCGTTGATCGGTTAACGTCATAAATCATCAGATTTTGTGGTGGCTCTGTACTCCATTTTTGAGTAGCTCTTATCAGTTATTTCAGCCGTTCTTTTCCGATTTTCTTTTCTCTCCGAAAATGGAGTCGAGAGAAATTCGCTGAAAACTTTTCCATTCCCGTGATCGAGACGATCGATTTGTGAAAAGGTTTTCTCTTTTCTCGATCTCCAAAATCTTGTTTTTAACTTTTGGCGATCATTTTTTGTTTCTCCCACATGACCTCAATGATAACAATTTCAGCCGCTGATTGAAGTGTTTAGATTTTTAGTACTTCCGCTTGTACCTGAAACTTTTAGATTTTATACTAATTTATCGATAATCTAATATAGCACTTAAATTTTGGTTTATCTAGCGTATTTTACTGGGTTTCTCAATTAATAATGGTGGGCTTTACAATGTTAGCTTATTAGCTTAGCTTAGACTTATTGTAGCTTAGGCTTATTGTAGCTTAGACTTATTGTAGCTTAGACTTATTGTAGCTTAGGCTTATTGTAGCTTAGGCTTATTGTAGCTTAGGCTTAGGCTCAGGCTCTTTCAGCTGTTCTTTTAAAAATTTAAAATAACTATCAAAACTATTGAAGTAAGGCCATTACTCCAAGCCGTTTTAGCCTACTAAACTCTTCTTTTAAAGTGTATCGTGTATTTTACTGGGTTTAGATGTTCATTGAGAAGTTTCCTTCATCAAAGTGAAGCCAGAATAGCTTTTCATTCAGTTTTTCAGTATAGTTTTTGAGAAAATCCTTTTCAAAACTTATTCTTTATAATTTATTATAAGTTTTATTATATTTTTTGTAAGAATCATCCTTAAAAACTTGAGTTTTATGGGATTTTTTTGGGGATTTCATTGCCATAAGCAATTTCTTGATCAGTAATTGATTTAACCTGAATCTTTTCTTTGTAAATCTCTATTCAAAGCTATTTTTCTTCAATCAAGTAACATTTTTTCAACCTTTTTCTTTGTTAAATCATTTTCATGATAACTTTATATTCGTTTTAATGTTTTTAAAAGTTAAACTTGCTTCCTTTACTTGTTGTTTTTTGTTTTTGTTTAATTATTTGAATTTTTAGAAAGTACAAATGCTCGTCTTGTAAATAGTCGGCTGATTTCCTGAAATATCCATTTTCTCTCTACTTCTACCCAAATGAATCCGCTCAAATTGAATGCCGAGGTGCTACCCACACAACAAACGCAAACACTGACGATCACCGGTCATCAACCATCAACTTCAAAGGCTTCAAAGGCTTTCTCAATTAATAGTGGTGGGCTTTACAATGTTAGCTTATTGTAGCTTAGGCTTAGGCGTAGGCTTAGGCTTAGGCTTAGGCTCAGGCTTAGGCTTAGGCTTAGGCTTAGCCTTGGACTTAGTGCGAAGGCTAGCGGCTAGCGCCTAGCACTAAGTCTATTTGGGTTTGGGCTAAACCCCCATTTTCTGGATCTCAGCCAGTTTAGGCTTAGGCTTAGTCTTAGGCTTAGGCTTAGACTCTTTCAGCCGTTCTTTTAAGAATTTAAAATAACTATCAAAAATATTAATGTAAGGCCATTACTCCAAGCCGTTTTAGCCTACTAAAGAATCTAAAGAATCGAATTTACCCACCAAGATACCACCAAAAACGCTTTCAACTCGAAAATGCAAACCCTTACTTTCCAATCCTTCAAACACAGCCCTTTTCCCCGTTCTCTTAACGGAATCCTTCGAAGAGTCCCCTCCAAACCACTTCTCCACCAAAAATTTCCCCGTTTCCCTCCTTTTTCATGAAAAAAAACGAAAAAGTGAAAACCATTGTTCTCCGAATTGACTCCTTTTCCACTTTTTCTCCAATCTTTTCGTGATTCCCATTCAAAAATCACAGCCGAAAGCATATTTGATGCAACGATTGTTGGGGAAAAATATGGAAATTGATTTCCAAGAGGAATAACACTGCTAAAGTCTTCTGAAAGCATCAGTAAAAAGAAAAAAATCTCTGTAAACAAGACTAAAATTGAGAATAAGATTATCAAATACAATTTAGAAATTCCAGGCTCTGATTCGTGTGAAGAATCGTGTTTGGGTTATTCGGAAGAAGACGAAGAATGCCCAGCATTGGATCAACGACATTTGAATCTAGTTCATGAGGAATTGGAAAAGTTGAACATTGCCACAGATGTTATTAATAAACTTGAAGTACAATTGGATGCAGCAAGAGCATCGTTTAGGTAAGTAAAACATTAGAAAAACTTGGTTTACTTGATAACTAGAAGATCTTTAAATAGTTTAATCTTTTTAGTAAACCAGAGTAAATCAGAGTATACTAAAGAGGCTATTCTTTACTTAATTCTTTACTGAATCCTAAAATTCGATTACTAAAAGGTTTAACTTTAGCTTAAAACATTTGAATCTTTAGTTTAGGTAAGTAGGTAAGTAAAGCATTAGAAAAGAAATGGTTTACTTGATAACTAGAAGATCTTTAAATAGTTTAATCTTTTTAGTAAACTATTTAAAGATCTTCTAGTTATAGAATTCCTAAGAAATCAATATAACTTGAGATTCGTATACTAAAGAGGCTTTACTTTATTCTTTACTTACTAAATCTTAAAATTCGATTACTAAAAGGTTTAACTTTAGTTTAAAACCAATAAAAAGAAAGTAAAAGAAAGTAATCTCATTTTTTTGTTCTAAAAAAAGCTAACTTTTCAGAGAAATCCAAACGACATGGTCGGAAAAGCTGAAAGAACTCAGCAAGAAATATGGCTCTGCAATCGCTAAGGCTCGTCCATTCTACGAGATGAAGAAACAGGTGCTTTTTTTAAGTCCTCAAATTGATAAATTAAGCTATTTTGGAAAGGATTGCGTCAGATTATCAGGGTTGCTGGTTGCTCAAGATTAAACTTTGATCGATAATTGTTTTGATGATAAAAATAGCATCTCCTTGCGCTGAACATTAATCTTTTCTGGTCTTAAATTGTACAGAAGTAGAAATTATTTTGATAAAGATTCGTATATACAAATGTAGTTTTGATGTTTTCTTTTGATCCTTCATGAAAATGTAGTAGAATTGAAGTTCCCAGTTCTCAATGAAATTCAATATCTCCGTCCATTCATCTATATAGAAAAAGAAAAAAAGTTTTCAGTAAAACTAGAATTTTCACTGAATCTAGTTGATAATAAAGTAAGGAATGGTAAAGAAAGATTTTTGGAGAGGAGATTGAAGCCTCACCTTTTTCCTCACCTTTTCAGATACTCTAACCATTGAGCTATTTGGTAATGCTCAGGTCAGATGCTCTAACCACTGAGCTTCTTGCCAAAGAAGAAAGAGGAAATAGAAGGGGGAAGAGAAAGAAAGAAAGAAAGAGAAGGAAAGATAATTTGAAACCTTTCAATTCCTAGGCAAACGATGGACTGTCGATAGGGAAAAGAGTGTTGACTTTGCATGTTTCCTCTTTCTGAAGGGGTTAACCGGGGTGGACAGGTCGTTGCATTCCTTGGAAATTCTTGCAAAGTCGAGATCTTGAAATTTAAGCTCAACTTCTGGATCATTTATTTAGTGCAATCAATACCATTTAATCTTCAAAGAGAAAACTTTTACAGTCAACTTTTTGCAGTTATCTTTTCGTTTAAGTAGGCGGTTTGGATTGATCAAATCAAGAGCTAGCATACAAAAGTCTTCGTCTTATTAGACTTGGCTTTAGGTTTTATAGTTAGGTCAGGGTCTTTACTATTAGTCTTGTCAATCATTCACTGACAACTACTCTATAAAATTATCATTCTTCTTTCTCTGTTCTTTCTCTCTTCTTTCTCTGTTCTTTCTCTCTTTCTTCTTTCTCTCTTCTCTCTTTCTTCTTTCTCTCTTCTTTCTCTCTTTCTTCTTTCTCTCTTCTTATCATTCTTCTTTCTTTCTCTCTTCTCTCATTCTCCTTTCTCTCATCTATCTTTCTTCTTTCTCTCTTCTCTCTCTCAAATAATCAAAATTTCTATGAACAAAAGCAGAAAGACAAAAACGATGACGATTGTTTGTTTTGATGGTGAAAAGAGAAAGGAAAAGGGGAAAAGAATCACCGGAATGCCGCCGACTGTCACTTTTTCCCTTTCCCCAGCTTTTGTAGGGATTCGAACGCCCCGTGGAATCAAAAGAAAGCAAAAAAAGAAAGGCTTTGAGACCAAGAAAGGTGATAGTCACTTTGCGGGAAAGGACCTGTCCAATTGTGACGTCAAAGAGAAACGTGGGGTGCGCCCGTTGCCAACCATACCGAGTCATTGTTGCGGAATAATGAGGGACCAATTTTTTGGGGGACAAGCTAACACGAGAATATTCTAAACGAACTTTCTGCTGAATCCAGTTAGATTGATTGTTAGCCAGATTGACGCAGAATTCGAAATTACTTTTTGTAATCTTTTCCAAACAAAAACAAACACCTGACATGTCCACTTTTGATTCGTTTATGAAATTGGTCAATCATCGAATCTCTATCGAAAAAGAGAAGAAAATGAAATCAAAACGGTTTGAACAATAAATATAGCAATAGCAAAAGAATAAGGATCAGGCTAGCAATGAAATGATTAGCCAAAGATTCAGAGAATTTAAATGCTACAACTGTAGGCAAGCAAATCAGTTGTCTGAAATCATATGTAAAAGTTAAAAGATATGTATTACTTAGACAGATATTTCCTTGTTTCTTCTTTCCCTGTCTTTCCTTCTTTCTCTTGGCGAGTTAAGGCACCGAATACCGTATTTTCTCTAATAGTAGTCCTGAGCGTTGCCTAAATTGCTCGAAATCTCGAGAACCGCTTATCAGAACCTATCGATGTGGGGTCGGAAAATGTAGCTGACGATAAGATCTAGTGGAGGATTAGAGTGTTGAGCTTTTGCAAAAGATTGGAAACCATAAAATAGTCACCAACTCGGCTCTCCGGGGTGCACTACTATTCGAGAAAATACGGTAGTTCATTAGTTAAATGAATTGCAAAGGAAAAGGTCGAGAGTTCATCTAAAAAATCGATTTTTTTGCCAATTCCTTCAATTCTTTATTAAGTATTGCCTAAAAAATATCTTTTTTCAGGAAAATGATCTCCGCAAAGAGTCGATGAAAGCTGCAATCCGTTTCGAAAAAGCAACCGGTGTACTTGCAATCGCTAAAGAACAAGTGAAGCTCTGCCAAGACAGTTTGGCTAGACAAACGATGAGTGTACATCCGGAATGTTTAGAGGTGGATATTATAATGATTTTGATAGTCAGCTTACTGTAATTAAGGTTTAATTCATGATTTCTAGGTGTTAAATCATCACATTCAACGGGTAAATGAGGCAGAAGAGGAGCGACAAACGGCTGAAGATCGACACAGAGCGATCGCTGAACAAATGTTGGCATTGAATCAGAGGATCGTGAAAATGGAGAAAGAGCATCGGTGAGTTTAATCAGAATATCATTATATTATTAATCATCATCAAAGGCAATTAGTTTAGTTTAGAATCCGGTTTTTTTTCCTAAAAAAAGCTGCATTTCAAGAAGATTTTGATTATTTTACAAATTTTAGATTTCTAGAACTTTACAGTAACCTTTAAGAAACAGAAATTTGGCTAAGAACAAGATAAAGAATCACTGAAGATCTACAGTTTAACCATTAGATAGTTAACTCTTTCTGGATGTGGTCTAATGGCTAGCAGAGTTAAAGATCAACCTTCAAGTTTGAGCCTTTACAGCCTAAAAGTACATTTCTCTTTATCTGAAAGCTCTGCTTCACCAATTTACTGAATTTTTATTCTCTAAACTATCCAGTTAATCTTTATCGCTTTCCAATTAGCTTCTACATTTCCAAATTTAATAGAATTATTTATGAAAAGCCGGATTTGAAAGCTTGAAAGCTGAAAGCGGATTTGAAAGCTTTACAATACAAATCCTTAAATAATCTCTATTATTTGAAATTCATTTGAAATAGAAAATAATCATAAAATATAAACTATATTATCAAAAACATTTTTAGATCAGCAATCAAGAAATCTCGACAATATTTTGAACAAGGATTGGAATTCACCCGGATCTTGGAACAACAAAAAGCCTATATTCTGAGATTGGAGGCTGAGGTGAATAAAGAAACTCCTTTTCTATTCTAAATTCAAAATCGTTTTCTAGGTTCGACAAAAGAAACAAGACTACACAACATCATTGAGAAATCTTGAGAAAATCTCTGATTCAATTCATGAACAGAGGAGTTTGGGCAGTGCGAGAAGTCTTTCAACGGCTGCTCTCACTCCATTAGGTAAGCTTTAGCAGTAGTTTTGTGAATTAGATCTTACCATGATCAGGGAAAGCCAGGGAGGACCAGTCAGCCCATAAGACTGACTTACTGAGTATCAGTATCAGTACCATGCTTAATTCTGTTTTCCTGTTCTGGTCAATAAGCAGACAACAACTTTAACCCTAACTTATTTAAAAGAAAGACAAAGACATGAGTAAATCTTTGAAAAGCTTAAGATAAAGATATTTTATATTATGAATGGTTTTCATAGTTTGAGTCTTTCTTTAGAAGATTAGAAGAAGCAGCTCTTCAACTCTATAGCTGAAGGAACTACGCTTAACTATGTACAGAGTTTAATAGAGGATTCTGTATCTTAGAGGATAAAATTCTGTATCTTAGAATATCTTAATGTTAAAATCTCTTTGAATAACTCTTTTTTTTTTAGATCCACCCGCAAATCCCCCTCCATATCACCCGACCGCTCCACCGCCGTATGAAGAAAATGGAGACGATCGCTACAGAATCCCCACAGCTGAACAGGTTATTCAGAAAGCTATAAAACTTGTTTAAACTCCCCACAGCTCCCTACAGAATCCCCACAGCTGAACAGGTTAATCAGAGAGCTTTAAAACCTATTTAAACTCCCCACAGCTTCCTACAGAATCCCCACAGCTGAGCAGGTTAATCAAATAGCTTGAAAACTTATTTAAACTCTCCACAGCTCCCTACAGAATCCCCACACTGAACAGGTTAATCAGAAAACTTTAAAAACTTATTAAAACTCCCCACAGCTCCCTACAGAATCCCCACAGCTGAACAGGTTAATCCGAAAGCTTTAAAACTTATTTAAACTCTTTATTCATTGTCGATTCAAAACTTCAAATTTGATGTTTGGATTTTAAAGCCTTTAAAGATTTTAAAGCTACTTTTAAAGCCTACTGCATCTTTGTTTATTTCAATCTTTATTTATTTCAATCTTCCTAACTCTTTCTAAATAAAAAAAAACCAAAATTTTTCATTATTTTCCATTTCTCTTTGACGTAAAAGGTCGTATGTCCGGCTGCCCTTTTACAAACAATTTTCGATTTTGCTGCGTTTTTTTTTGAAATTCTGTTTAATCAGCTGAAAAAGCGGCTTTCGAAAGGGATTTGCATTGAAATTTTTTTGAAAAACTGGGGTCATTTTTGAAGCATCAAAAAATATTGAGAGAGCTGTAGTTTGGGAAACAGTTTCAATCTCAAAGGGGTTTGAAAAGAAAGCTTTATTTAAACTTTATTTAACTTTAGGACGAAGCTGTCAATTCGGTTTTCTCAATCATACAAGAGGAAAAGGAATGGGAAAAAGAGACGAGAGGGATTGGATCTGGAGTCATCCTCTTGGCACAGCAATTGATTGGAGGAGGCAATTCAGCACATTCAAGTCCATCGAATACCATTCAAAGACTCAAGTAAGGTTTGAGAAGGAAAGCTAGAGTTTCCTTGTATTCGTTTAACATCAGAATAGAGATTTAGGGCTAAAGTCCATTGGCTAAAGACCAGGAGCCAGTTTCAGGCCTAGTTTTGTGAATTAGATCTTACCATGACCAGGGAAAGCCAGGGAGGACCAGTCAGCCCATAAGACTGACTTACTGAGTATCAGTATCAGTACCATGCTTAATTCTGTTTTCCTGTTCTAGCCGATAAGAGACAAGAATTGAATAAACTTTCAGACTAAGCAGCTCGCAAGAAGACATTTCTTACAAAACTCTTCCGGAGGGAATGCCATCAAGTTCATGTGATTCAGAGAGATCTGATGATGGAGAAGGAGAATCCGAAATCTCATCTCTATCATCTTATCGAACATCAAATCTGAACACTGATGAAGAGGGATTAAGGCAAATGCTGAGATCGCATTCGTCGTTGATTCGAGTGAGTGTTTATGTTTATTATATTGTTGTTTATTGTTGTATGTTGAATCTAAAGCTCTTATCAATCAAGGATACTGAATTTTGCTTTTATTGAACTCTAAGCAATTTTGAAGATATTGTAAGATAAGTAAGATAAGATAAGAACTCAAATAACCGTTCTTCTTTGATAAGTTCTTTGTACTCAAATAATAAGATTTATACTCAAATAACCAACAAACTGACCACAAAACATTGATTTTCTTTTTCGAATTGTAATGTTTACTTTTCAGGAGATTGACAGCCACGCGACTCGCATAGAAACGATGTTGAAGAGATCGGCGAGTGATACAGATGAGAGTGGAGTTGGAAGTAGTCATTGAAGTAAAGAAAATCCATTTATTATTCCAAAAATCCGGTTTTTTACCTAAAAAAAGCTGAATTTCAAGAAGATTTAGATTATTTTTGCAAATTTTAGATTTCTAGAACTTAAGAAATAGAAATTGGCTAAGAACAAGAGCTTAAAGAATCACTGAAGATCTACAGTTTAACCATTAGATAGTTAACTTTCCTCTGGATGAAGAGAAAACAAGTACGTTGTGGTCTAATGGCTAGCAGAGTTGCCCGGTAATCGTAAGGTCACGGCTTCGAGTCCCGGTGGCGCACAAACTTTTGATCTGTTCTAGTTTCAACTAGATTAATGTTTTAAGATTCTAGCAAGCCTTTGTTTTCTTTTCTAGACAGCAAGCCTTCTTTTCTAGACAGCAAGCCTTTGTTTTCAATTCTAGCAAGCCTTTGTTTTAAGATTCTAGCAAGATTCAATGTTCTGAAATTCAGTAAAGCTTTTAAATCGAAAAAAAACGGTTTTTTCGATTTTTTTTTTTCCTTAGAATCTCGAGAAATTTCCCTGTCCAGTGGTGCCGAAATTTAGCTCTTTAACCAATTTCCCGAATTCCAATAAAAATGCTTTCCATAACGATTGCCTTGCCACCCAATTTTGTCCAGTACAACGAGATTCCCGAAATTATGTAAATTCTCTAGAATTGCCCAAGAAAAAAAGAAAATTTTCGCGTTTTGTGATAAAGTGGGAGTGGGACAAATGCGACCAAAGAACAAAAAAGGTGCGCAAATGTCGCTAATGGGCAAGGTGCGCAAATGTCTGGGTGCGCAAAAAAAAAAGGTCGCACTTGTCCGGGTGCGCAATTGTCGATTTGTCCCACTCCCGATAAAGTTCTTCATTTTTCAATCCCATTTTTTTCTTTTTTTTCTGTATATGCAAATTTCAAAATGTAAATTTGAGCTGATTTTTTCAAATTTGCATATTCATTTACTGTATTCTCGATGAGTTGCTCATTAGTGTCTTTAAGCCGAATTTTTCTTTTAATTTTCATCATTTTTCCCCTTTTTTCTTTTAAAAGTAGAGATTTCTTTAATTTCTTTAATAAAAAGATAAAATGAAACTGAAAATGAAAGAATTACATTCAAGTACAGATTAAACAAGTACAGAACAATCAAAGTTTACAGATAATCATTGTAATAACTGCTTTGGCCAGTCGGTTTATAATTTTGCGTTGTGGTCACTTGTGTCCCGGTCACCTCTTTATATTCTTTCCCAGTCCATGGGAAATTCTCACGACGTTGACAAATCAAATCAAACACGTACAGGGGAACCATCAGGAATTCGATCACCTGAATTTAAAGGAATTGGTCTCTAAAAGGATTTAAACAAGAGAGTCGAAATCGAAAAAAAGAGAAAGAACCCGAGTTCGAACCTGCGATCTCTCGCTTACTAGGCGAGCACTTTACCACTGAGCTATAGCGGTACGTAGCCACCGTCCAGAGGGCCTTAAGAATGTAAAATGTGAAAAAAAAGCCGAGAAAGAACCGGAGCCGGGATTCGAACCCGCGATCCCTCGCTTCGTAGGCAAGCACTCTACCACTGAGCTATAGCGACATGCCCAGCCTCGCCGCCCAGGGGGCCTTATGAATGTATCGTTAGGATTAAAGAAACACTTTTTATTGAGATTTCTTTGGTAAATCGAGTCTGATAGTGATTCTTTTCCCGCAATTCTCACCGCTGCAGCAATCCATTGTGGTCGAATATGTGCATATCCTCTTCCTTGATAATTGTACGATTCATGAACAGTCAATCCAGCCATCCAAGCACCAAGAATTCCAGCAATCGGGAAAAGAACAATCCCCGAAAAGGCGTAGAGCTTTTCCTGGAATCAATCAAGATCAAAACTTGTTTTAAATGCAAAATTTCAAGACTAGAGCTTGCAATGATAGTCTGAAGACTGACTTATGCAAGAATGAAACCCTTTGATCAATTTAAACACTTTAAATCAATTTACCAATCCATTCATCACTCCTGGAATGCATCGATGTCCATTGAGTCCATATAGAGAAAGAATGATCACACAGAGGATTGACATCCATAAGAGAATGATTAAAACAAATACCTGAATCGTTTTAAAACCAAATTATCAATATTATCAAACTTGTCCAAGCGCAATGTATCCAAAAACGTTCATGATCATCGTGCATGCATCGTTTCCACAAGTGATTTGAATCAACCATTGTAAAATGAAGAAACAGAGCTTAAAAAGGAGAATTTTCGGGTTAATGATTTCTTTTTACCAATTGAAACCATCTGAGAGCTCCCATATAGTGTGTACACATGAATGGAGTGCATTCAACTTCATCATCCTCTTCAACAACGTTTACTGTCTGAACTGGTTGTTCTTGGTCTAATCAATGGCTTTAAAAGAATTGCAGAATGAGCTGCGGAAGTCAGATTGAACTTTTATATGTTTAAGAAGATAATGCTTAACTCAGAATTCATTGTAAGACTGTAGTTTTGTTTTTTTAGTCAGCTATAAACACCAGTTTATCCGAAATCTCTTTCACCATCACTTCCGACTCTTTGAACATTTCCTTCTTCATCGCTTTCACAAAATACAAAAGCTTTTCAAAATGTTTCAATTAAATCAGATTTTACAGGGAGATTGTAGTCGATTGTAGTTGATTGTAGTCGATTAAATATTGTCCCAAAAAAATCAGACCAAAATTCCTACTGGGATTCGAGTTACGAAGTGAACGACCACACACACACAAACTTTGCGTTTTATAAAAAGTAAGATCAGCTTTCTACAATTAAACCTCAGCTCATCAGCCTTAAAACCCTAAGGTTTTAAATTAGAAAAAATACTCAACCCTGTCATTTCTTCTGAACTATTGGGTTGGTGGTAAAGTCCTTTCCGATTTTTTGGGAGAGTACCTTAAATTTGTACAATTTTGACGTTTTATAGCTCATCCTGAAGCTGAATTCAAGACAGATCAATTAGTAAAAACCGTTTTGAGATATCTCTTTTTTTAAAAGTTTTTACAGCTATTTTAGTAAAGGGCGGCAGAGCCAAAAAATGGCTGTTTTCACGTTTCGTTAGTTTTCCGTGCAGAAACCTAGGCTAAAAACATGTGTTTCGTCAAAAACATTTCGTCGTTTACAATAATAGAAAACAATAATACAATTTTGTTGTACCCTAAAATTTACCATAATAACAATTGAACTTTTCCCATTTTCCGAAGATGTTTCAAAATCGTGGTATGGTACAACAAAAAAAAACGAGAAAAACGAAAGAAAATCGCGAAAAGCGGCGGAAAGGCTATTGATCTGAGGGTCGCTAGTTCGACTTCCACCGGTGACAATATTTTTCAAAATTTTTGACTAAGATTCTGAAAATGGGTGTCTAGGGGTTATTTTTGACGCTGATCACGAAACACATGTTTTTAGCCTAGGTTTCTGCACGGAAAACTAATGAAACGTGAAAACAGCCATTTTTTGGCTATGCCGCCCTTTACTAAAATAGCTGTAAAAACTTTTAGAAAAGAGATATCTCAAAACGGTTTTTACCAATCGATCCGTCTTGAATTCAGCTTTAGGATGAGCTATAAAACGTCAAAATTCGACAAATTTAAGGTACTCTTCCAAAAAATCCGAAAGGACTTTTCCACCAACCCAATATTAGACTTATTTCTAAAGCTTTTGAAAAACAAAACTAGATTTGCTTAGAGTTGGATTCCTTTTTAGAATTCAAGAATTACTCAAATCTTTACCCTTGTGATGATTGTTTTTGGATTTCCATTGTAGACGGGTGGATGATCGAGATATTTTGGAGTGGGTGACAGTCCACCTCCGCCACCCATCCCCCCTCCTCCTTCACCTCTCATATATTGAGCATCTTTTCCGTACATTGACGCCATCACATTGAAATTGACTAAAGATATAAATGCTATGAAAGATGTAATAAAGGAATCAGTAGAATAAAAAAATCAAATCTTTAAACACGCAAATTTGAAAAAGAAAAATGCTCAGAGAAAAGTTCTAAAGCAGATTTTTACTTCAGTGATAGAAAAGATTCAAAAATCGGCTTTGTTTTTGTAACTAATCTTAATTTTAAAGTTCCAGATTCTGGTTTTATTGAAAAACATGGAACTTGTAACTTAAAAATTAGTAATTTACTTGCTTAAGAAGTTCAAATTCCATATTGAGCTCTCGAGAATCAGAATTGGTTTAAGTTTTAAACAAAAATTTCATGACAATGGATAAGAGTTGAAAATTTGAAAATTTGGTCTTTTCTAGAATCTCTTAATAGAGGTATTGAGCTGATGAGCTGAGGTTTAATTGTAGAAAGCTGATCTTAGTCAAAAAGATATTCAGCTAAGGATATTCATTGAAATACAGTTATCAATAGTAAAAATCAATGTCAATTTTGAGGCTTTGTGTTCAGTAGGGAAAGCGTTTTGAGGCGTGATAAGCTCGTTGCTCATCCCCTAATACCAAAATTCTGCCAGAGAATCACAAAGAGAAGCTGTGAAATGTCAGAAGGGTGAAAAAAAAAAGATAAGAAAAGAGACGGTGGCTGTGATTTCACTGTTTGAATCACTCATTTATTGATCTGAGTAAACAATGTTAATAGCTTCATTTGGAGTCTTTCAAGCTAATTTTTTCAATGTTTTACTTGATAATAAAGTACTTACTAAAAGGTTTAAACTTTTAAAAGCTACCCTAATCTTTTCTTGTACTTAATTTTGAGTTTATCAGATGAAGAATGCGAGGAATTGGATTAGAATTAGAGATGAAATCTAAAGATTGCGATAGTATTGGGTTGGTGAATCGAAAACTGCCGGCTATTGTCATATGTGACTGTTTGAGCACTTTCTTCAAAAGAAACCCATTTTAGTGTCAATGGAAAAGTTGTAGAGAATCAAAAATCAAGCTTATATCCAAATTTTCAGAACGATTCAAAAACTGGTTTTCAAGAAATGCCAAATTTACGAATTTTCACAAAACTTGCATTTTAAGCGAAACTACTAAGTGTATCTTTTTGGAAATTTGGCTATAAGCCTAATTTTTGATTCTCTACAACTTTTCTATTGACACCAAAATGGGTTTCTTTTGAAGAAAGTGCTCAAACTGGGACATCTCCAGTCCTCCATTTTTGAGTCTCACGCTTGTCTCACACACAAACCAAAATCCTACACAGAAAGAGGAATCCGCAAATTGCTTGTAAAATGGGCAGAAGTCATCAATAATAATGGAAATTATTTCGAATGAATTGATAGTTTTATGTTGAATAAATTTTAGTTCAAAGTCCGGCAGTTTTCAACTCACCAACCTAATATAAACTATTCAAATCTAGGAAAATGCTAATGTTCACGGTTTGAAGGATCTCTTCTTCACCTCTTCATCAAAATTGAAAGTTACATGGATTCTGTTATTGATTTTGGCTGCAATTCTCACTGTTCATGGATGCTCCACGATGATCGTTGAATATTTGGTGGGACGAGTGGTCGTACCATATTTTGTTTATGAAGCATGTAATTCAATGATAATGGAAATTATTTGGAATGAATTCATGGTTTTATGTTGAATAAATTTTAGTTCAAAGTCCGGCAGTTTTCAATTAACCAACCCAATAGATCTTTCGACAAGACCTAACAGGGATTAACAGCTTGATGGCTTATTTTCTTTGAGGTGGAGAAGCAAACAGAAAGTGGTATTATGTAAGCCATTTTTAAAGGCGATAACTACTCATTTTAAAATAAGTTGATTGTTTTTAAGCCTTTCCTATACGCCAACAACCAGTTTATTTTCAAGTTTTATTAATCGAATCCAAGCAAAACCCTAACACAAATCAGTTCAATCATCAAAATGTACAGAAATCAAAAAACATATTATTTAAAAGCTTCCATAGTAACCGTTTTGTTGTAATGGGGCTAAACTATGACGTCGATTTCCTCTTAAATGAACACCTCGTAGATTTTGATGACTCTCTCCAATGCTCAAGTTGCAGATTTGAGGTAAATGCACTAAAAATTCTAATAGTTATAGTTAATCAATAATTTTCTTACATTCTTCTCGATCAATTTGTCGAACTTCAATCTCAGGCAGTGATTGAGAATCGTCGGAGATTGGTGGGAAACCGAATTTCTTGTGCTCGGTGAAATGTGATGGAGAGGAGAGACGAGAACGGGGAGGAGTCGGTAAATTGAGGAATCTGAATGTTTTCGATAATGAAACTCTAGTTTCAGTTTTAGTTTCACTTTCAGTTTCAGCAACAGTTAGCAACAGCAACAACAACAACAACAACAATAACAACAACAACAACAGCAATTTGATATTAGCTAAGTTTTGAGTCAATTTCAAGTCAAATTTTCCAGTTAAAGTTTTACAAAATTTGTTCACAGTCTACTAGCTCAAAACAGTTTTTAGAAGTCTTTTTAAAGTAAACTAGTAATTGCTGATTAAATATTTGCAATTGTACCTTGGCGATTGTGGTGTTGGTAGATGAAAATCGAAACGTTGCCCTTGTTTCTCTAAGGGATTTGGTGTATTCACTATTGAACATCCAGCCGAATGCACATCAATATTCAAATGATTTTCTCTTTTCTTTTGATGAGGACATGTTCTAAAATATAAAATATAAAAAGAAATACAAGAAATAAAAATACATTGTTCCAAAGTATTTATTTTCCCGACTTGTCGACGAGGTCGGCACCAAATAATCGCAAATTGTGCAAGCGCTTCTGGAATTTGATTATTTTGAGTCTATTAGTACAAGTTGATTTTACATTTTTTGTTGATTACTTTCTTTTTCTATTCCTAACTCTAAGAAAAGATTCAGCTACCAGTTTACAAGTACTATTCAAGTTACCATATTCTCTCTAATATCAGTGCACCGAGAGCGTTGCCTAAATTCCTCGAAATCTCGAGAACCGCTTATCAGAACCTATCGATGTGGGATCGGAAAATTTAGCTGACGATGAGATCTTGACAATGATTAGAGTCTTAAGCTTCTGCAAAAGCTTGGAAACCGTAGAATAGTCACCAGCTCGGCTCGGCTGGGGTCCACTTCTATTAGAGAAAATACGATATCCTAAAGGCCAGTCCTAATAGAGACCAGCCCCAATAGAAGACCCCCCTTGACCCCTTGAAATCGGGACTTTTTAAACTTCTTTCAAGTAGTGAAAGATTTGGGCCAGATAGTAATATTTTAGCCCGGCAGTAAAATGGGCGGACGTTTTAAAAAATAACTTTTTGGAAAAATTTTCATGTGGTCCCCTACATGGATTTTTGAAAGATTTTCTATGGAGTCGGGCAAGAAAATAATTCCACTTTTAGACAGTTTTTGGCATGTTTGGGGGGCTACGTTTGAAATAGTTTTAATTTTTAATTTTTGATTCATGTGGGGGCCTTACCTTTTTTTTGACTCACCAATTTTGGGGGTTGAATAGGACCATGTTCTATTAGATTTACGGTACCTTAACTAACTTGTTAAGCTTTTAACTCACTTTGATTTCATTCGATCGATTTGTTGCCACCGATCTTGTTGTCGACTCGGCACCTCGATTTCGGTCATTTGAATCAAATTGTCAAAGCGTTCACAACTAAAACCTTTCAAATTATTCACCACAAAACTTGTTTTGTTATAAGCAATACTAAAAAGCACAAAGGTCATCTACTTTCTATGCAAGGAACGTGTTGGTAACTGTTTGATCAGCTTTACTACAAAGTGTTGGTTCATAAAGTTCAAAGAGATTGATAATAATTGAGTGATTATTAATAACCGAGTGTATTTTTGAAAAAGGAAGTGATTTCTGTTTCCTTTTTCAGTGAAATCCTTGAATTCACCTGGTTCCTGGTCTCTCAATCGATCCATCGTAACTCCTCGCTCGCAACTCAAGAGACGAGCAACAATTCCTCGTTTTATCAATGCTCAGTGATTGGGTAGATTTTGTGGAATCTCTGCGATGATCGGTGCAATGACAGAGATTTGTCAAAAGAGAAGTTGCCTTGCTCACAACTTTCATTCTTTTGTGATACTGGAAATGATTCTCATTAGTTTTTTTGGTCGAAATGGAAATAAAGATAGTTTTAAATGCTTTGGAATAGCCAAATCATAGTTTCTAATATAAAAAATAATGAGATTAGAAGGTTTAAAGAACAAAGAAATCAATCTATTAGGTAAATGCATAAGAAATTCGGATTTCAACATTTTTGATAAATTTCCAACGATAGAAACCTGATATCGATGATATAATCGAGGAATATTATATACTATTTCAAAGCTGTAAATCTCCTCTACAAAATAGGCTAAAACGTGTTTCAATTGATCGAACGATTGAAGAAAATTCGAGGGCGAAATGCGAGTGAAAGAATCGAACCAAAAAAGGAATCGACTCACTTTAGGGACAAGTGCAGTGTGATCAAAATAGAGTTAATCAGACATTTGAATATCAGAATTGAATATCAGATTTCCATCGTTGGAAATTTACGAAAATATTGAAATCCGCATTTCTTATGCGGACAATGAAATATCATATTTGAAAAAAGATCGTCACTTTCGCGCGTCTGTAACTCCCTTGTCTTTGAGTTTAAACTATTAGTGTTATACATTTTCTGAAAGCTCTTTTCAAGGACTACACAATGGTAATATTAATGTTTAGAAATACGGTAAAGATAAGGAAGTTACAGACGCGCGAAAGTGACGATCTTTTTTCAAATATGATATTTCATTGTCCAGTACGTACGTCCTTCTTTGTCGTTTAAGCTATTAGTGTTATACATTTTCTGAAAGCTCTTTTCAAGGGCTACACAATGGTAATATTAATATTTACAAATACTGCAAAGACAATGGAGTTACAGACGCGCGAAAGTTCGAAAGTGTTTTTTTCAAATATGATATTTCATTGTCCAGTAGTGTACCTAATATAAACTTTAAATTGACTCAACAATAAAATCCAATAGTAATTTAAAATCTCTATTTAAAGCTAATAAAACTTGACTGAATATCTTTTGTTTCATAGGGAAATTTGAAGATATTCCGTTAAGGCGTTAAGTTCAATATTAGAAATTTGAACAATGATTTATTTTAAATACAAATAGCAATTCAGGGGTAGACTAATTTCCGGAATTTTTTGGGGAAACTGGGTCATTTGCGCAACTGGGCATAACTTTCTTCTAAGTAAACCAGTCTTTATGGTTTTGGTTTCATTTTGTAGATCTCAATAAGTCAACAAAATGAAATCAACATCATAAAGATTGGTTCACTTAGAAGAAAGTTATGGCGAGTTGGGAAAATTTGGGAAATTAGCCTACCGCGCAATTTAAAATTAAAAGAATGAAATCAAAAAGCATCCGTAGTCGTTCAAGTTTTTGGCTTACAAATGAATATGACAGTTGTACTGAAGATATAAAGATCTACAATTAAATCTGCTGTCAGATCTACAGTTTAAACAAGCATTAACCATGTTTGAAACTATTTTCTGGTTTTGTCAAGTTGGTTTTTCATTAAAATTATTTCATAAAATCTATCTAGTTACAGAATTTTTTTTAAATTTTAAAGGATAGGCTAATTTAAAGGATAGGATAGGCTTTAAGTTTATGCACTTTGTTGATTGATGTTAGCGGCGTAGGCTAATTTCCGCAACAGGGTTATTTGCGCAACAGGGTCGTTTGCGCAAGCCATAACTTTTTTTCTAAGTGAGGCAATCTTTCTGATTTTGATTTCATTTTGTAGATCTCAATAATTGCAACAAAATGAAATCAACATCATAAAGATTGGTTCACTTAGAAGAAAGTTATGTTGCGAGTTGCGAAATTACCCTGTTGCGCAAAAAACATTGCGGAAATTAGCCTACCGCGCAATTTAAAATTAAAAGAATGAAAATCTAAAGTGAAAAGTTCAATGAAAAACCATTTCTCGAATGAAATCAATATTCTAAACTTCATAAAAACTCAATTATTCTACGCTATTCCAAAAAAAAGAAAACTAATAACTTTGTCGAAAAGTGATTTCTCTCAAAAATCTTTAGAGCTTTTGTAGTCAAAGAAAAGGTTCCCCGTTTTGTGGCCGTATTTACGATGAAGAAAATTTCTCACTAAACTTTGTAATCAAAAAAAAAAATTAGCCACTTTATCTCGGGAAGAATTCTTTTATGCAAGCTTTCCAAGGCTTCCAAATAGTTTCTTGAAATATGGGAAAATCCTTGGGAATGTCTGGTTCAAAGGATTGTTTCTGAAAACGTTTCCCTATTACGTCATTTCATTGAAATTCTTTTTGTTTCAACTACATTTTGTGGCTGATTTTTTGGTTTTCTGGTGTTTGGTTGGTGACAAAGGTAAAGAAAAGGTCAATGATCGATTTAAAAATAGAAGTAATGTTTTGAAATCTTATAGCTGATAGCAACTTATAGCAAAAAAAGTTACTGAGAAGGAGTCACTTTTTTGAGTGTTTTAGCTAGAATGTTGATCTTTTAGTGGACTTAATATCGATAAATTGATGAGAAACGAGAGATTTATCATTTAAACTTCGTCCAATAGAAAATAAAAGACGAAAATGGGATTCCTGCTAAATAAATCTTTGATTCAATATTATAGAAATGTTTCTGATGGATAAAGTTTATCGATATTAAGCCCTTCAAAAGATCTGCATTAGAAAAATGTTTTTTTCAATGATCAATTTAAAAATCAAAGTTCAATGATCAATTTAAAAATAGAAATAATGTTTTGAAATCTTATAGCTGACTACTTATAGCAAAAAGATATTGAGAAGGAGTCACTTTTTTGAGTGTTTTAGCTAGAATGTTGATCTTTTAGTGGACTTAATATCGATAAATCGATGAGAAAAGAGATTTATCAATTAAACTTCGTCAAATAGAAAATAAAAGACGAAAACGGGATTCTTGCTAAATAAATCATCGACTCAATTCTATAAACATCTAGAAGAATAAAAATCTTTCTAATGGATAAATTTTACGTAAGCCCAAAGGAATTGCTTAGGAAAATGTTAAGGGAAGGGAAAGGGGGTGAAGCAAAATAATAGTTTCTAATATAAAAAATGAATCGATTACAAGGTTGAAAGAAACAAAGAGAATTTATGCACTTTAAATTGATCAACTAAATCAAGGTTTAAAAATAGAAGTAATGTTTTGAAATCTTATAACTAATTACTTACTTTGAGATGGAGTAACTTTTTTGAGTGTTTTATTTAGAAATGCAAATCTTTTAGTGGACTTAATATCGATAAATTGATGAGAAACGAGATGATTTATCAATTAAACTTCGTCAAATAGAAAATAAAAGACGAAAATGGGATTCCTGCCAAATAAATCTTTGATTCAATACTATAAAAATCTTTCTGATGGATAAATTGTATTGATATTAAGCCCTTCAAAAGATTTGCAATAGAAAAATGTTTTTCTTGTATAAAGTTTACAAATAAATCTGATAAATAAATTAATTAATTAATTAATTAATTAATTAATTAATTAATTAATGTAATAAATAAATAAATATAATATAATAAATAAATAAATGTTAAATAAAATCATTTAAGCTAAAAACTTATAAGTTTAATCAAAGAAAATGAATAAATCTCAATGAGTACTTGAAATGAGCACCCGTACTTTCAAAAAATACGTCTTTGGTATCAAAAAATAGCTGAAATTCAGGGCTATTTTTTGATACTTAAACGCGCATTGTTACAACTTTAAAAGTCTGGGGTAAAAGAAGAATGAAAGTGAGGATGAAGTTGAGAATTGAAATCCGATTGATTAGACTAATTTTTGCGTTTTTTCAATCGTTTTTATAATAAACAACACAACATTATATTATGTTGATGCATAAGTGTTTTTGTTCCTTTTCGTCTGCCGTTTCAAGCCAACAAATGCACCAATTAAACTACGGTTGATTTCATTAGAAAAACCAATTATTTTTCTGCAAAATAACATTAAAACGGGTTTAAAAATATTTAATGCCTGGATTTTCTTGAGAGTATGAAGTCGGGTAGTCAAAAAGGGCTAACTCGATGATGCGGTTTAGGCTCAGGCTCAGGCTCAGGCTCAGGCTAAGCCTCAGCCTAAGCCTGAGCCTGAGCCTGAGCGGTTTAGACACCTTAGCTAAAGAAAACCTATCTTCGTGTCAATAGATAAAAGATAGAGAAAAAAAACGTTTAATATTTCGCCAAAATTTCAGAGAAATTCATTCAGCCAATTTTTCCGTAGAGTTTTTTATAGATTTTTACGAAAAAGGCGTTTTTCACTCTCGAATTTGCTTGAAAGTGAACCGAAATTCATTTAAAAAGATGCAAATTGAACAAAAAAACACTTTTTTTATAGAGCAAACTATAGATTAATTCGTGAATTTGTTACTTTTTAACAGAAGTACGAAAAAAACGAAAAGACTTATGCATCAACCTATTAGAATCGGTAAATTTCTCAAAAAAAAAAAAAACAAAAATGATAACTTCTTCTGATACTTGGAATGGGAAATGAAAGCTTTCGAATGCATGACTGTCCCCTCTTTTCTTTCATTGCTTCAAATTCATTGCTTTCACCTGTCTTTTTTCTCATTTTCATC